GAGACACCAGGGACGTGCACACACACAGGACAGACGCTACGAGGGGCGAGCCAAGGAGAGAGGTATCAGAAGAAACCAGCCTTGCCGACACCTGCTCTTGGACTTCGAACCTCCAGAATTGTCCAGAAAATACAGTCCTGTTGTTTAAGCGGCCAAACCTGTGGTATTTGTGACAGCAGCCCTAATACGCCAAAATTCGAGCCCACAGACCGGAACTAAGCCTGCAGATCCCAGCAGAGCCTCGGCCAACCCACACCACAGGTCCACGAAGGGTAAAAAGAAATGCCCAAAGGTGTAAACCGCCCAGCTCTGGGGTCGTTTGTTACACAACATTATTGTAGGGGAAAGATTGACTTAGTACCACATCTAATTTTTCTCTGGGCCAATTTTGAAAATTTTCTTTGTTTCTCACAACATGATTCCTTAGCAACATGTTAATCTAAACAAATTCTGCTGTCTGAACATTTTGACAATTTCAGTTATATCGAAACTGCTCCTGCTGCTAGCAAAGCATCAGGGTGTGGGTCAAAACCCACTACCAAACATTTTCATAGTTCCCACCTCATTAGCTTCCACCTGGCTGTCCCACCAACAGGCTGGGGGACCTGGAGGTCAAGGCTCCTGCATGCTTCATGCTCGGGTCCCCAGCATCTCTGGTGCTAAGACAGTGACTAATAAATGACTCATTCATACCAGATAGGGCCTGGGACCAAGGCAGCTGCTCCTCCCAGATAAAACTTAGATGGATGTTCAAGGCTCCCCAAACTCCGGCCCCACCTACTCCCCCAGCTCCATTTCCCCCTGTTTTCTCCAGACTTGTCCCTTCAGTAGAGACACCAGAGGCTCCAAGGACCTGTATGAGCCTGCTCATTTCCCTGCCCCCTTTTCCGTGGCAGCCCTTTGGCTCCCTTTATTTTGTCTATCATACCTCCCTACCACAGGGCCTTTGCACATGCTTTTGCTGACTCGAATGCTGTTCCACAGCCCTTTTTACCTAGCTTACATGCATATCTTCATACCTCAATTCAGAGGACACTTCCTCAGGGAAGCCCTTTCTGACTGCTCTAGATTAAGTCAGCCCCCCCATCTTTGTCCAGTCCAAGTATCATGTACCTCCCTTTCTTAGTGCTCATTTGTGCTATAATTTATTAGGGTAACCTTTAAATTAATGTCTGACTCTCCATTCCACACTTCCAGATTCGTGAGGACTAGAATGAGGTCTCATTCACTCTGTCCCCAGAGCCTGATAAGTGTTGGATGCACTGTAAGTATTTGTTGATTGAATGAGTACAGGATGGGGAAAAGCACAATAGGGTTAACTGTGGCCAGTGTGGCGCAGTTGGTTGGAGCATCGTCCCATAACCAAAAAGTTGCAGTTTGATTCTGGTCAGGGCACATGCTTAGGTTGCAGGTTCAGTGCCCAGTCTGGGCACATACGACACCTGGTCCAGGTGCGGACAATCCCTGGTCTGGGCACGTACAGGAGGTGACCAATCGATGCTTCTCTCTTGCATCGATGTTTCTCTCTCTCCTTTTTTCCCTAAAGCATTCCCTAAAGAAAATGTCCTCAGGTAAGACTGAAAAAATTAAAATAACTTTGCAATTGTGAGTACATGAAGCAGAGTTTTTTCTCATACATTATTTATTAATTATTGCATTATTTTCCATACAAACAATAAACCTCCTGTAAACCTCCTTCTGCCCTGCCCTGTGCTGTCCCACCTGCTCTGCTAACCCTCTCCATTGGCATGTAAGGTGTCCGTGGGCGTGTGCCGCTCAGATTTCTCTCCAAGAGACCCTGCTGTGGTCCTTCTGCAGCCTTCATGCCGAGGCCACCATCTCCTGGGCTGCTCCCAGCCAAGGACTGAGCACAGTGGGGTCCTAGGGATGGGTCAATTTTGTCCGACACAAGACTCCTAGTACTGGGTCTTTTTTTTTTTTTGCTCTGGAGCTCCCCACTGGCCTGGCCAAGGCTTCCTCAGAGTTGACTGTTCCAGTTATCAAGTTATTGTCTCTCATCTCCAAGTTCACACATTAGTGCGTGCTCTGCAGTAATGAACTGGAATGGACTCCAGTTTATTACACCATTGCCTCCCGTACAGTGAGATGCTAGACTTCACCAGCAGAGGGCGCTGAAGGGACCATTCTAGGAGGAAAAGAGGCTTGCTTTCTGGTTCTGTGGGGGCGGTGTGTGTTTTCTTGCTGCTGCAGCTGTGTGGTTGGTCAGCAGTGTGTAAGGACATCTGGTGGTCATCTGCTGCAGCCATGAACTCAGTTTATCAACAACCTTGCAGCCCCGAGGCCGAGGGACGGCCTTCTTGCCACTCTCTTAATGCAGGTAAATATCACACTCTCTAGGCCTCACGTCTACAAAGGTGCCCTAATCCCTGAACCACCATCCTCAGCTCCCTTGGGCCTCTGAGGGCTTCTGACCTTGCTTGCCCAGTGGCTATGGACCAGCTGTGGCCTCGCCAACCCAGCAGAATTCTCTGCCATCCGGCAGGCTCCAACCACGCCTTCCCCAGTGAGGTCTGAACCCCAGCTTCGGGAAGGCATCCCCCCTTCCAAATGTGTTCTTCCTTGGGCACGCTCCCTAAGATACTCTTTAAAGTTATCTTTATATCTTTATAGTTACTCTCCTGTGTAAGCTTAATAATTCTTTATATTAAATAGCCCCTGTTAAATTGCTGTCTTCTAGTTGGACTCGGACAGACTCGGTGCACAGCAGTCCGAGGCTTTTCCCGCCCACCCCTCCTTCCTTCCCTGTGCCCTTGCGCAGCCTCCAGGTGCGCGTCGCAGTCTGACAGGGTCTCCCCCCTCCTCCTGCTGCCCGTCTCCTCTATCCCTCACAGGTGTAACCCGCAACACATCTCCGACCATTCATTCTTTCTTGGCATTTGCTCCACAGAGGAGGAGACTGGTGTGACTTCCCATCACACTTAGAATAAAATCCCGTGAAGCTTTATATAATATAATCTGCTTTCTGTCTCAAGACCAACCCTCCCCCCAATGCAGGCCTTCCTGCTGCCCTGCAAGTCCTTCCACTCCAGGGCCTGCGGGTGGCCTCCTTGAAGTTCTAATCCACATGCAAACCAGAATCCCACCTCAGGGGCTTTGCACTTGCTGCTCGTGTCTGCTACAAGGCTGGTTTCCTCGTTTCATTCAGACCTCTTCTCAAATGCCACCTCCTCATGAGGCAGCGTAGTGAAAAACTGGGAAAGTTCTTGAGCAAGTGGCATGGGGAAACTTAGACAGGAAACTTAGACAAGGCCAAACAGTCTGAGCAACTTACAGCCGGCTGGTGAATCGCGAGCACTTATCTCCCCTGAGGAAGGACGTTGGAGAGAGAATGGCATGTACCTCTCCTCCCTCGCCAAACAATACACAGCTTAAATCTCCCCGGTGTGGGAGACAGAGAACAGAGAGCCTGTTGATGCCAGTTGTGCCAGCTAAACCCAAGGACAGATGAAGTCAGGGGAACAGATAACAAAAACCCCATTAAAAGCCAGACAGACCCAAGATAAAAGTAAAACAGTAGAGCGGACCAGAGAATATTTCCAAAACCCCTTTATGCCCCGGGAAATCTGATGAATATTCAGCTGAAACCCTCCCCCAAGATGGTCGCCCACAGGGAAAAAAGGGATAGGAAGCCCTCAGGACACAGACCGGTGCGGGCTGTCTGTAGAGCAGCACGCCCCCTCTCGGCAGGAACTTTATTTTGTCCTAAACGCTGAGGGTCCCCAGGAGACTTGCAGCCAGGGGAGCAGTGGGCAGTGACAACTTGACTCCGTTTACCCCCAATCCTGTCTCAGGGCCCCCCTATTCTCTGACTCCCCGGCGAGCTCACAGCAGCCCGCCGTGGCTCACTCCTTTCCCCTCACGCTTCTGGGGAGCCAACGCAGAGCTCCGCCTGGGCCGGGGGCGCCACACTCATCTTCACTGGGGGCCACGTCAGCCTCGAGGTTGCCTTCCGAGGGCTGAAATCATTTTAGGCCTGTGTAAATGTAACTACTCAAGCTGTTAAGGAGTTGAAATCACATCCGGCCCTTGGAAGGCAACTGCGAGGCTGATGTGGCCCCCGGTGAACATGAGTGTGACACCCCGGCCTAGGCTCTCTCCCGTTATTTCCTCTACCCTAAATCTTCCCTTTGTTTCACCGTCCCCAGCCTCAGGAAACATACTCTCGAAATCACCTGGACTCGTGTTGTAAAATCTCTCCTACCTGAAGTCAAGAACCCCTGCACTACAGGCTGGCTCCGGGCAGCCCCTGTCCGGCAGCACTGAGAGGCCTTCTCCCCACCCCCACCCCCATTGCCTTTTAACTCTGTCCCTTTATCCTGCTTTGTTTGTGTCTTTTTTAATAAAGATTTTATTTATTTATTTTTAGAGAGGGAAGGGAGGGAGAAAGAGAGAGAAACATCAATGCGCGGTTGCTGGGGACCATGGCCTGCAACCCAGGCATGTGCCCTGACTGGGAATCGAACTTGCAACACTTTGGTTTGCAGCCCGCGCTCAATCCACTGAGCTACACCAGCCAGGCTGTTTGTGTCTTCATAGCACCTATTACCATGCCACGTACTGTGTATTACACTTACTTACTCACCTTTTGTCCCCCCCTGTAATGAAGAGTCTCCTCCGTGAGGCCAGACACTGTCTTCCTTGTTCGCTGCTGCATCCCCAAGCTCTGGATTAGTACCTGGCACGCAGTAGATGCTCAGGAAGTATTTGTTAACTGACTGAGTGAAAGGGTGTCCTTGCCTGTCCTCAAGCCATTTCTTCCCTCCACCTGGAATGCTTTCCCTTCTCTTTCCTGCCTTTCCTGATCCCAGTTGTCCTTTAAGACTCGGTGCACTCCCCGACTCCTCCAGGAAGTCCTCCTGGACAATCTTGGCTCTGAGCCCCTGGAAAGTGGCTTGTTCTTGCCCTTCACCTACTATACTGCCTAATTTTAGGCACAGTGTAGGCTTTATAGCAGACGCAGACTGAGGTGGAGATTAAGGCAGGAGACAATAGGCCAGCTTTATTGGAGTGAAGGAGAGGGGTAGGGGTGCTCCATAGGCTCTGGGCCCGCGTGGAGCGGCCAAGGGAGCGGCCTAGGGTGTCACTTCTTCCACTCCTTCTTCTCATAGTCCCACCGGGAGGCCAGGCCTTGCACAGGGTTGCCCTTCATATCCAGGATGCGCTGGAGCTGCTGGGCCTTCCACTCATCCGTCAGGGTGATGGGCTTCTTGGGGAACACTGCAGGGAAGGCACGGGGTACCGAGGGCGGCAGCTCAGGACCCTACCAGGCCCACCCTGAGCCAAGGCCCCCAGTGACAGAGTTAGGGTACACTGCACAGAGGAGCCCCCTCCACCTTGTCTGCACCCTGCCCTGCCACCGCCCACAAACTTCCTAAAGTCCACTCCCTGGACTTCCGTGTTCCAATTCCAGCTCTGCCTCAGATTCACTGTGGGAACCGGGCCAAAGTCCTTCCTCTTCTGAGCCCAGTTTCCTCACCTACTGTGCGGCCCAGTGGTTGCAGGAGCACCGGTTTGAAGTCTGTCTGGACCCAAACCCCACATCCACCACTCCCTTGCTGTGTGACCTTGAAAAAGTCACTGTGTCTCTCGGAGCCTCACTTTCCCCACCTGTCAAAACCAGGTCCTATCCACGAGGGCTGTGGGGTTTAAATGAGTTAGTATTTATAAAACAGCTTGCACGATGCAGGACCGATATTAAGCCCCTGGTACACGGTAGCTACTATATAGTCCCTGAGTGTGCTCCCAGGTATTGGGAGCCGTCCGGGAGGAGATCATTTCTTTTACTTCCTGAAGGGGGTTGGGAATAGGAGGTAGGGTAGGGGTGTTCACTTTCAAAGTCTGGGGAGGACAGTACTTAACCCAAAGGCTGAAGCACTCATGGGGTGTCTTAGGTGCGTTCACGCGTGGAGTGGGGAAGGCCGGAGGGCCACAGCACTCGCATCTTGCTCCCTGGCCCCTCTGCGGCGGAGGCTGACTCAGCCTGCCTGGACCCCTTGGCTGGTACTTGCTATCCCAGTGGGAGGGCAGGAAAGGAAAGATCTTCACAGGCACCCATGAGCACTAAACGTGGGGCTAGACTAGAATTTGTCCCAAAGGCTTTCTCCTTTCATTCTTATCCAAGGCGGGGACGCCCGTCACACTTTCACAGAAGAAACAAGGTGGGGCCACCAGAGGAACCGTCAGTGGAGTCCCAGACAGGCAGCGCTCCTTCAATATCCTCTCCCTTCTTCTAGAGCAGCGCTTCCCAGGCCGGAGTGGACACGGGCGCCCCCCAGAGGCCGCTAAAACACTGTCGGCCTGCGGCGTCTGACTCAGTAGCTCCAGAGTGGGGCCGAGAACGTGCATGTCTGACACGTTCCCAAGTGAAGCTTCTGGGCCAGGAACCACACTTGGTGAATCATCTTTCTTAGTAAGAAATGGTTGGCCCACCCTTCTTACAGCGGCGATTTTCAACCTTTCTCATCTCATGGCACGCATAGGCTAATTACTAAAACTCTGCAGCACACCAAAAAATATATTTTTGGCTGACCTGACCAAAACAAAAATAGGTATAATTTTGATTCATTCACACCAGATGGCCATTGTTATGTTGGCTATTGCCACTGTTTTCGTTGCACAATTTAAGGAAATTAGGCATTGCATGTTCTTGTGGCACATCGGTGTGCCTCTTGCAGGACACCAGCGGAAAATCACTGTTCTGCAGTGATAAACGGTCAGCTGGGTATGTGACAGCCCAGTTGAAGACTACACTTCCCAGCTTTCCTTGTGGGTACACATGATCATATGATCCTGTCTGGCCAGCAGAATGTGAGCAGAACTGGTGTGTGCAACTTCAGAACCTCAACGAGCAGCACATCCCCCCTTCCGCTCCTCTTTGATGGAATGTTGGCTCTGTGGCTGGAGCCGGAGCAGCCACCTTGCCGGTCAGGAGGAAAGCTGTGTGTTAAGGGTCGAGAAGACACAAGAAGCTTGACATTGTGGAGTCCCTGTACCCCCCCTGGCCTATTTTTGTGAGAGAGCTTTATCTTGTTTAAGCTCTTGTATGTTGTGGACTCTTTGTTACAGCAGCTGAAACAATGTATTGAAAAATTCATGCTTAGTAGCAGACGGCTGGAATGGACTTTCGTCCAGACGGCCCTCTAGGATTCCTTCTCTCTCCCCTTTGGGTCCTCAAGAGCCTTGAACACCCCTTGCCCTCACCACATATCCTGAGTTACAGCAACCACGCCACTCATAACCATGTGCCAGGCACTGGCCTACAGCTCTTTTCATTAAACCCTCACATGAGCCCTGAGACATGGGCGCTATCATCCCCGTTTGACAGGTGAGGACGTTGAGGCCCAGAGAGGTAGCATCCCTGCACTCCCACCCACTCAGGCGGCTGTGCTCTGCCCGTCACCCTACGCCTCTCTGGGGAACTTTTGAAAACTCCGGATGAGTGCCAGCACAGTTCCCTTAGAAGAGCATGGCCAGTGGCTGCAGCCACAGGACACGGCCCAGGGCGGCAGCCACGTGAGATGTTGCCACTCACCGTAGACCCGCTGCCACCAGATCAGCAGAGCTGTGAACCCGCAGAAGAAGAAGACACAGCCCAGCACTGTCTTCCACTCGTTGGAGCGACGGTTCATCTCCGCGAAGGTCTCGTGGAACTGGAGCCGGTACACTGGAGGCAGGGGGGCGGGGGCAGGGTGGGGGCCACAGGTGCAGCCGTTTCAAGGACCCCAGGCCAACTCTCGGTCTGGGGGATCTCCAGCCTCCCCCTCCCTGCAGCAAATGCTGTCCTTTCAGCTAACTCTTCCTGAGCATCTACTGGATGCAAAGTATGGCCAGAAGCTGGTAACAAAGCTCCAAATATTAAAATCAGCCACCTCTGGCACCTCTGGTGGGCAGAACTTGGGGTCATGCAGCCCCCCTGCTCCCCCACCCACAGCCCTGGCCTCTCTCTGCTCTGTCCCCTCACACCGCTCAGTGATGCCAGAACCCTCCATGCCCTGCTGCTCCCGTATCCCTCCCCATGCTGTTCGCACTACCTAGCAGCACCCTCCTCCTCAAAGCCGGCTGGAAAGTTAATAAAAATAAATAAACAAATGAATGAATTTCCCCCTTGGGTATGCATTCACATGTTTGGGGGTTCCTGGCTGTTTTGGGTGGGGGCTCACGCTTCCCACTCCTCCCTGACAGGCTCTTCTTTGCAGAGCCACCCCCAGCCCGCTCTCCCCACCAGTCCCACTCGGAGACCTACAGGCCACCTTCTCGGCGTGGCTCAGCTGGGTCCAGCTGCCCTTCTCCTTCTCCTTCAGGGCCCGCTGCTCGGCGCTGAGCTCTGTGCAGAAGGGCTCATCTGGCATTGGGTAGGAGCGCTGGGCATGGTAGTTGGTGTAGGCGGGCGCCTTCCCCTTGCTGGGGGCTGCAGGCACAAGGAAGGAGCCGAGGTCAGGCCTCCCCGGGGACATTCCAGCACTAACCAGGGTCTTAATAGAGAGGGCTGCATTTACTGAGCCCTCACTGTGTGCCAGGAGCCATTCCAAGGCCGTCAGGTGAGTTGGCTCATTTACTCCGCATCACTCTGAGCCAGGTGATGCTGTTATTTCCATTTTACAGATGAAGAAACTGAGTGGCAAGTGACTTGCTGAAATTCACAGAACCAGAAGGACTGGGGCCAGGGCTGCAGTTCAGCGGCCCTGGCTACATTCAACCCCTGTGTTCTCTGGGAAGACTGTGGTGAAGAGAGCATGTCAGGCAGAGGCAACGGGCAGGTAAAGGCTCAGTGAGAGGAACCCGAGCTGACAGATGTGAAACTGTTCTGCAAACTGTAGAACAACGCCCATATGCCTTTAATGAAGGATCAAGGGCATGGCTTCGGAGTCAGCTGGGTGTGAAACCCAGCTCCTCTCCACCCCAGCTCCAGCCAGCCCCTCTACCTCACTGTGCTTCAATCTACTGGCAGGCAGGAGATGGTCTGTAAAGTGTACAGGCAAACAGAGAGGTTGGTTCACTGCTGGCTTCCATTCTAGGATGCTCTCTCTGATGGCTAAGCCCTGGAGGGCTCTGTGTAAGGGTCCAGAATAAAGTCCGAGCACTAGGACAGTTTCAGCAAAGCTTCTGTCTATCGTCACCAGACATGCCCACAAGGATAGTGTTGGTACCACCTTGCCAGGATAGCACTGGAACTGCTTTGGGCAGGGAGCCCTGGCTCTCTGAATATCTAGGTCTCTGGGCCACAGTTTGTTCATCTGAGAAATGGAGATAATAACATAGCCTCCACCTCACATGGTTGTTGTGAGGCCTAAATGTGTTCATCTGTATCAAATATTTATCACAGCTTGGGGTGCCCAGTAAGAGCTCAATAAATGTTATTTCTTTATAAATCAATCAATCAATCAATTCAATCAATCAATCAATCAGAAAGGCCCTTCTGCTATCTGGCTGAAGTCTCTCCTGCTTTAGGCCTCTTTCTTTTTCTTCTTCTTCTTCTTCTTCTTTTTTTAAGATTTTATTTATTTACTTCTTAGAGAAAGTGAAAAGAGGGGGAGAAGGAGAGGGAGGGAAAGATCAATGTGCAAGAGATACATCAATTGGTTGCCTCTTGTATGCCCCCTACTGGGGAACCTGGCCCACAACCCAGGCATGTGCCCTGACTGGGAATCAAACCTGTGACTTTTTGGTTCGCAAGCGGGCACTCAATCCACTGAGCCACGCCAGTGAGGGCAGCCTCTTCCTTCTGACTAGCCTTGGTCCCAGGGTCTGGACAGGAGGTCCCAGGTTCGGTCGGCATTGGTACCTCAGGACACAAAGGCCTCAGTGGACTAAAGTTTAGGGGTCAGGCTCTGAGGAAGCTTGGAATGCAGGGGCTGCTGTCTGCCTGCCTTTGGAGCTCCATTTGCTGGACTCAGAGCTGGGATTGTGGGAAATGGTTTTGGGGGTGGGCCCAGGGCGGCATGGAAGAGACAAGGCGCAGCGTGCAGACAGAACTCCTGCCCTTGCCTTGGAGTTAGGCGAGGGAGGAGGGTGTGCAGGTCTTACCGGGATCTCCTGGGCTGTGCACCTTTCGCATTCCAAGTCCCCGTTTCTGTTTCCCCAGCACGAAACTCCAGGCAGCTCTGAAGAACATCTGGGGGTTGTATGCAAATGAGGTCCCACGTTACCCTCTGCCCCTACCCCTCAGGGCCCAGATGGAGAAACCATTTTCCTAGGCGTGGTGGTGGCAGGTTTCAGGATCTCAAGGCCCCCCCTCAGGCCCCTGGCCCTTCTAATTGTGTCTGATTCCCTGGGTTTTGGGGGGGAGGGTGTAGATGGGGGTCCTAGAGATTGGGAGCTCCCTCCTGGGACCTCAATTTGCCATTTGCGAAGAGGCAGGAAGCCTAATTTTTTTTAATTAAAAATTTTTTAAATATGTTATATTTCTTTTAAAAAATTATTTACTCATTTTTAGGCAGAGGGGAAGAGAAGGAGAAAGAGAGGGAGAGAAATATCAGTGTGAGGTTGCCTCTTGAGTGCCCTGTACTGGGGATCTGGCCTGCAACCCAGGCATGTGTCCTGACTGGGAATTGAACTGGCCACCCTTTGGTTCCCAGCCGGTGCTCAATCCACTGAGCTACACCAGTCAGGGCTAATTTAAGTTTTTAAAGATTTATTTATTGATTTTTTTAGAGAAAGAGAATATTGATTTGTTATTCCTCTTATTTATGCATTCATTGGTTGATTCTTGTATGTGCCCTATGTGGTGGGAAGATGCTCGAACCACCTGACCTACCCAGCCAGGGCCTGAAAAGGCCTAATTTTTAAGGCACAGGTCTGAGTAGTTTGGGGCTGGGAGCCTGGGTACTGCTTCCTGCCCAAGCTTAGCCCCGGTTGTTTGCTCTCCCCCCGCGCCCCCCCCCCCAGCAGGAAATGGGGTGGGAGTCCAGGTAGGGAGGAAGCAGATCCCGCAGCTACCTCTCTTCCCTGCAGGGCCATCTGCCACTGGTCTCTGCCAGACGGCCTGGCCCCCACCCCTTCCCCCTTAATTGGCTGCCTACGTGCGCAGAGAGCCTGCTCTGCTGGATCTTGTGCGAGGGGAGGACAGGATGAGCCCAACCCCCTAGGGGATGGGGAGTCTCAGGGACTGACATCCCGCGGGGGTGGGGAGAGACTTTAGAGGAGTCAGAGGACCAAACTGGGTCAGAAGCAGGAAGAGGGGCACACATCTGGAGAAAGTAAAGGGGTATCCCACTTCTGGAAGGAGAAAGGGCCCTTCAAAGCTGGGGAGGGGACACCCAAAGGGAGGGGTACACCGTGTGTGGGAAGGCATCTGGGAAGGCAGGGCTCCCTGTCAGTGGTAAATGGGTGGGAGAGCCCCGCATGTGGGGAGAGGGATGGAGTCATCTGCGTTTGAGGAAAGAGATGCCCCCTCCCCACCCACATGAGGACAAGGGATAATTCCCCAGGCCTCCTCTACTCTGAGCTGCCAGAAGCCCCCTCCCCCTCCTCCATGGCAGGGACCATGTGGGGCCGGGGTCCAAGCCGCATTCCCCACTCTCCTGGGCCTGGGAATCAGGGGCTTCTCCCAACCACTTACCTCGCAGTTCTGCTGCAGGGAGAGTGAGACCCAGGGCGGCAGAGCCAGTGACTGAGAATGGGCTGCGGAGGGACTGGAGCAGTGGCGCCCGCCCCCAGACCCGCCCCCAGCCTGTCCCAAGGCCGCCCCTTCGTGGGAACGTCCTGCCCCAGAGGGACGTGGGAGCGCCCAGCTCCCCTCCCTGAGGGCTCCTGGCCACCTGGAGAGAGGTGCTGCAGAGTGACTAGCCACCTATGGGTGTCCTGCCTCTGGAGACCCCCAGCTGACTGCACCCTAGGATGCAACTGGCCGTGTGTCCTGGTTGGTCCAGCGTCCAGTTGGGTATTTCCAAGAGCTGGATCTTCCTGCCTCCACAACTTTGCTCCCTGCTGTTGCTTCCACTGGGAGTGCTCTTTTAGGGACTTTGCAGAGCCGAGTCTAATGCCCCCTTTCCAGCCCCGACCCCTTTGCCTCCTGGTCCCGGGAGCCCACAGGATCTGGAAGCTGGAAGCTGGCCCGTGGTGCACTACCTCACACCCACAACCCCATACCCAATGAGAGGGGGGGAAGCCTCCTCTAGGGTTCAAATCATAGCTATGTGGCTTTCAACAAATGGCCTAACTTCTCTGAGTTCCTGTTTTCTTTTCTACAATATATAAAAAAAAGATTTAATGATAGTTCCCCCCTCACCTAGCTGTTGTAAAGATTAAGTCAGTAGAAGAGCAGCAAGCACATTTATTCAAGAATGATTTATTAAGATCTGTTACAGCTGGCGTTTATTATCTGTTGTTCACCAGGTCAGGATATGGAACCAAAGAGAACCAAACACAACCTCTGCCCTTATAGGGCTTACAACCCACCTCCACGCAGAGAAAAAGGCTTGCGCAGAGGCTCAGGGGCAGAAAAACACAGACGTGGCCAGAGTGGAGAAAGGGGATCTTGGCCAGCATGCGGTGGGCACAGGGGAGTGCTGGAGCGGGGCTGGACCACCGAGCAGGTAATCGTAGGCCACAGTGTGGATCTTGGAGTTTATGTTAAAGAAGGAAGGTCACTAAGGTAAGCGGGGGGCGGGGGATGTGGTTAAATGGAACAGCACACGAGCTCAGTAAAGGTGGGCTGGGGCTGTCAGAATACCAGCTTGGCGCCCGGCTGGGTGCAAGCTGTGGGTCGCCGCTGCGACCTGGGGCCAGAGGTTTCTAGGTCTCTCTGCTCTGGGCTCCTGAGGTGTGCCCAGTGCCTACACGTCCAGCAGGGGTTCGGTAGCCCAGTGAGGCCACGGGGGCTACTCCAGCCAGTGTCTGGAGCTAGGGGCTTAGTTCCCAGGGTGCAGATGACCCGAAAAGAGCAGGGATTCAGGAGAAGGTGACAGAGGAACCCTGGAGTGGGCAAATGCACGCCACCTCCATTCTGGCCTTTAGCAGCAACAGACACAAAGCTGTGGGAAGGCAGTGGCAGTGTCTCCTGAACCCGAAAAGACGCCCAGCTCCCAGACTGGTTATGGTTACTCCTGGGAGCGGCGCCTCTCCCTTGACCAAGGGAGTTCCAACTTGAAAAACCCCCAGGAAACCACCTTACCTCTTGGGTGCTGACCAGAGCATCCTGAAGAGCAGCCCGTGGGCAGAGGACAAGGGCAACCTAAGCCTCAAGTCTTGCCAGAATTTCCGAAGGGCAGGCGGGCGCCTCCCAAGGGAAGGCACTTAGGGACTGAGATCCTCTGTTCAGTCCTGCCCTTTCCCACCCTCGCCTCTGTGGGAACTCCAGGCCCTCCGGATCGCAGACGTGGGGCGATGCTGTGATAAGGGCCATCTGTTGGGGAAGCGGGCCCCGAGGGCGGAGGGAGACGGAGGCAGGCCTGGGCGGCTCAGGGTTGATGTAGGCAGAACGACCGCCCGTTGGGTGACGCGGAGCAGCGTCTGGAGGCCCTGAGCCTGAGCATGGTCAGACTGTCCCATAAGGCAGATCTCTCAGGTCTCTCGGGGGTTCTGGGGCCAGGAGTGGGGAGTCTTCCTGGGCACCGAGGGGAGGGGGCTCCGCTCTGGCTGAGACTGCGGTGAGTGTGAACGCACTCTGACATGCCAGGGACAGCAGGTGAGAGGAATCTGTCCCTTTCGCGCTGGCTCTGGAGGCTCCGACCCTCCAGCTCTCTCACTCACGCCATCAGATCCAGGGGCTCCCCCAGATTCTGCCCAGACACACAAACCTCAGCTACGCCTCAGCGTCCTGCGGGCCCGACGCCCCCGCCCCCGCCCGGCTCAGGCTCCTCGCAGCCGAGAGAGGACGCTGAGAAAGACTAGACCTCGGACCAGCCCGAAGGCGAAAGCACGAAGAGGTGAAGGACCAGGCGTCGCGGACCTTTACTGCCGGCCTCCCCGGAGCCTCGGGAGCTGGGCGGTTTGGAGAGGAGGTCTGGGACCCGAGGAGCGGGGCCAGCGAGTGCAGGGGCGGGGTCGGGGATGAGGGGTTGTCAGCCCGGGTGGAGGGGCAGGGAAAGGTAGGAGAGGACGAGACTCGTCCTCCTGGCGAGGACTGCAGTGGAAGGGTGGGGCCAGGGTGCGGTGGAAACGAGAGGCACGGAGGGGCGGGGCCAGTGGGGAGGGCGGGGCCTGGATCAGGGGGCGTGGTCAGGCGTGGGTTGGGGCGAGGCTGCGGCAGCTCGCCGGCAGGAATCCGGGTGACGCGCCGGCCTGGCGGCGCGCCCTGTGACTCCGGGTCTCTGCAGCCAGCGGGGCGACAGGCAGAGCCAGCACGAGGGCGTCCAGGCGGCGGCGCAGGCTCCGAGGACGAGGCGCCACGATCCGCAGCTCCGTGGGCGAGTCCAGAGAGCGCTCCCGCAACTGCTGACAGGCGGGCCGGGTCAGAACCGACCCGGAACCAGGGCTGCCATGCGGACGGCGGGTTTCCCGGGCCTGGGAACACGCCAGTGGCGAGATCAGGAGCAGGTGGACGCCCTGGGCTGGATGTCGCTGTGACTGGACTAGACCCGGGCCCTGGAAGGCGGAGACCTCCTGCGGGCAGGTCTGACCTCTGGGCACCGCCTCGGCCCCAGGACTGACGGCCTCCGAGGAGGCGTCCAGCGGGTGGCATCCTGGGCGGCAACGGCCACCGTCCCCTCACCTGGGGCACGAAATTCGTGACGCTCGGGGTGTCCAGCGGGAAGGGGAATTCCCTGCAAAGCCGCAAGGGCTTCGTTTGGGGCCGAGCCCCTCCGGCTGTCACTCAGGACCCCTTAGCCCCGCCCCAAGGCGTCTTTAGCCCCGCCCACAGAGACCCTGGTTCTAGGTGCTGCCCCCTGCCTGGTCCCTCGCACTGCGTCATCTGCGCCCCAGGTCTCTTCCTTCCCCGGCCTCTAGCCCTCGGACCGTCCTCGTGCCCGCTCCCCGCCGGCCCGTCTGGCAGTCCAGCGCGCGGCCACCTCCAGCCCTACCCTGTCCTGCTGGCGAGCCCCGGTCCCGCCCGACCGCCGGCCTCGCCCCTCCCCCGAAAGGTTCCTCCTCTATCGCCCAGCCGGGATCGCCCCTGGCCGTGTCCGTCGCTCGGGCCCCGCTCCACAAGCCGCGCTAAACCCCTGCCCGGCCCCCGCCTGGCCCCTGCGGGCATCCGCGGCCCCGGCCCCACACCGCGACCGCCTCTGCCCCGCGGCCCTGCCCGCGCTGTCTCCCAGGCCCGGGTCCAGCGCGCCGGATCGGGCCCCGGCCGCGCCCACGTGGCCTGGCACTCGGGCCCCGCGGCCGCAGATCTGCCGCCGAGACCCGGCCCTGCCAGGCCCTCGCGGGCTCCAGCTTCGCGGGACCCTCGCGCAGGCCCCTCTCCGCCCATCAGCCCGCCCCCACCCCCCCCCGCCCCGGCCGGCTCAGGCTCCGCCCTCACCACGGGGTCACTGAGGTGCGGGCTGGGGTCCCCGCGTAGAAGGCGACCGCCGTGGCGAAGGAGGCGAAGGCGTCCCCCAGGAGGGGCAGGACCCCGCGGCCCGCGTGCTCTGGTCGCAGGAAGGGCCGGAGCGGCCCGGCGGGTATCCGAACTCGCCACGAGTGGAGAGAAGATCTGTGGGGTGAGGGTTTCGTCAGAACTCGCTGCCATCCCGGGGCCTGGGCCCTCATCACCACCTTTTCACCTGGGCAGATGTATGCAAAGGACACGCAGAGGACCCCCTAGCAGACACCAGGGACGCAGAGGCTGGGTACCTGGGAGGCCGGCCTCTAGGATTCTATACCCGTACCCATCTATCCTCTTCTGGTTTCAGGCGGTTCCCTCCACCCCCGCTTCCCCCGTGGCCTCGGTTTCTCCGTCTCTATAAAGCCAGTCCAGCGCATCAGCACAGGGAACAACAGTCCAACCCGGCAAAAGGCGGAAGTGGTCGCATCCTGGGGGGTGCAGGGGGTCAGAGCACTCCTGGGTAGACGCTGGTCCCTTCGGGTAACACTGCGGGGCTCCCCACTAGCCCAGAGTGGTCTGCAGTGTCTGCCCCGGGCCTGCCAGGACTCTGTACCACAGGCCACACCGGGGCTGCCCAGGGAAGGTGTGAGGAGCCCTGGCCAAGCCCCTGGGCCGGGCCCTTCTCCAGGACACCAGCGGCTCAGACCCCTTGTTGTGGGCTCTCTCCCCTTCATGCGGCCCCCAGAAGTTTTATCAGTGACTGTGGCTTCAACAGTATCTCCAGTTCCACGGGCTCTTCCGACAGTGAACGGGACCTTGACACTCGGCCGTCGGGGAGTGCGATCTATGAGCCCACTGCTTGAAACCTGATGTAGTTTTGCTGGGAGAAACTAAATCTGGACTAACCAGAACATGATGAAAGTGATGCTGTGTGGCCTGCAAAGCTACATCATAAGAATGCTATATACTCGGTCCTGGAGCCCAGTCGCTGTGCTGTGAGGAAGCCAAACCAGCCCCGGTGCAGTGGTCATAGGCAGGCGTTGTGTCTGGCTGCCAGCCTGCAGCCAGCCTTGACTTCCAGACACGTGTATCTCCAGATGACCACAGCCGCTAGTCATCAAGTCCTCCTCGGCCATCAAGTCTTCCCAGCCGAGGACCCAGACATCACCCAGCAGAGACAGGTCACCCCGGCCATGCCCTTTCTGAACTCCTGACTCACAGAATCCTCAGCATCAGACAGTCGTTTTAGACACTAAGATTTCAGGTGGTTTGTTATGCAGCAATAGTAACTGGAACAGTGATCAAATGTTATTTTTTTAAGGATTTTATTTATTTATTTACTGTTTTAGAGAGAGGGGAAGAAGGGAGGGAGAAAGAGGAGAGAAACATTGATTAGTTGCCTCTAGCATGCCTGCAACCCAGGCATATACCCTGACCTGGGATCGAACCGGCGACCTTTTGGTTTGCAGATGATGTTTGGCTCACTGAGCCACACTGGTCAGGGCTCAAATATTATTTTGATTTCAATACACCTGACTCCTCATTTGACTCAGTTGTTTTAGAACTTGGGGAAGAAAGAGGCTGTTGGGTATTGACACCCAAACCTCACTACTGTCCTTCAAATTTCAGCTCAAATATATCTTCAGACTTCCCCTGACCCCTATGGAAAGCGCCCTCCCTAACCAGTCTAGATTTATTTTCTTCCCAGCGCTTTTCACTTTCCAGAATTACACGTATGGAAATCCACAGCCTTCTTGTCCTGCACGCTCTACGCAACAAGACTATTCACTCAGGTCCCTCCACTTCCAGGCTGGATGGAGTGAGAGCTGGCTGTGCAATGGCCCGGATGTCTGTGTCTCCTCAAAATTCGCATGTTGAACCTCATCCCAGTGTGATGGTATTGTGAGGTGAGGCCTTTGGGAGGCGCGTAGGTCACGAGTTTGGAGCTGTCATGAATGGGATTGGGACCCTTATAAAAGACCCCTCAGAGAGCTCCCTCATGCCTTCCGCCACATGAGGTTACAATGAGAAGATGGCTGTCTATGAGCCAGGAAGTATGTGGAATCTTCCAGCACCTTGATCTTGGACCTCCAGCCTCCAGAAACTTTCTGTTGTTTGAAAGTCACTTAACATGTGGCCTTTCTGTTATAGCAGCACAAACAAAGACAGGTTGTTAGAGTGATACCTCATTTATTTTTCATGGGTGCTGTTGTAAACAGTACTTTAATAAATATCAATTTCCAGTTGTCATTGCTATTATATAAAAACAATTGATTTTTAGATATTGACCTTATATTCTATGACCCTGCTGAATTAGTTTATTAGTTATATGAGTTTGCTAGGACTGCTGTAATTAAGTACTGCAACCTGGGTGGCCTAAACAACAGAAATACATTGTCTCACGGTTCTGGAAGTTAGAAATGTAAAATCAAGATGTCTGCAGGTTCGGTTCCTTCCGCAGTCCGTGAGGAAAGACTCTGTTGCAGGCCTCTCTCCTTAGCTTATAAATGGCGGTCTTCTCCCTATATCTCTGAACACTGTCTTCCTTCTATGAGCGTCTGTGCCCAAATGCCGCCTTTTTGTAAGGAGACCAGTCATATTAACGTTTTCAAAGAATGAGTTTGGTGTCATTGTTTTTCCTGTGTCCATACCATTGATTTCTGCTCTTGATTTCTTTGTGCTTGGTTTGGGCTTCAGTTGCTCTTGCTTTTTCTTGTTTCTGAAGGTAGAAGCTTACATTATTGATTGGAAACATTTCTTTTTTTCTAATAAGCACTTAATTATATGAAATTTGCTTAGCTCTGTTTTAGCTGCATCTCACAATGTTGATGTGTTGTATTTTCATTTTAATTC